ACTAACTACAAGCCCAATTCCTACACCTCCAGGTCCCCAATCTTCCAAAATCCTACGCGTCAGTACTCTGGTCATGCAGTTGCAATTTTTAGAGTGTTGTAGTTATCTTTCCTTTCGCCTTTCGATATCGATTAAAAAATTGTACTCCACTACATGTACAGCAATTTTGGTTAAAAGAATAACAAAATCCAAACTAATATTATAAATGCGAAAGTAACTCTGTCTGTCTGTCTATCTTTTCTTCAAGCCTGAAATAATGAACCGATTTCTGTGAAATTTGGTACAGACATAGTTTAAAACTCGAGAAAGGACATAGGATAGTTTTTATACCAAAAATGCAGGATATGGATGGAAAGTGACTACTATTCCATGCAAACGAAGTCGCGAGCAAAAGCTAGTAATATATAATACACTAAAACAATTAGCAATTAAACGGCCTCTGATGGATTCGGCGCAATTCATTCAGAATCCGAAACTATTTACAAAAGGGTTTTTGAAAAGACGCCGATGTTCCAAAATTGTTGCGTTAATTTAGATATGAATTGATTTCAACTGGAAAATTACAAAGACTTATGAGAGACACTTAAGATATTTTCCAAGAAAATTGGTATTTTAGTCAACGACCTGATAGATTAATAGTTTTTAAATGGAAAATATGTTTTACTCAGAAAATTACAGTGCGATTTAGCGGCTGTTGCGTGAAATATAGTAATGTCATTTTATTCATTTTATAATTCAAATTAATATAAATTGTCCAATAATATTTTTTATGTAATCTGTATTTTACCCCTTGCAACTATCCGTTTACGTATATAATCAGTTTTGGAAATGTTTGCCTAACTTTAATCTTTATTAAAAATTGTATAAGTAATATTCAAAATACAACCGCTAATTAAAACTTATAAACATAACAAATCTGGCCCCTTTCTTATTTTCTTTCTTTTAAGTGTCAAAAATTAACTCTTGTAACAAAGACTAACTATAGAACTACTCATTTGACAGTGACTGGGCAGCGTTTCCCAGATAAATCTGAATCGTTCAAACAACGATCTCCAATCCCTGTCCAGAACCACCTGACGATAAGCAATCAGCGCTCCTTATATACGAGATAGACACCTTACATAAGGAGTCTACTCAAAGCATATTTTTTCACCAGTTAGTGGTTTCAGTCGTGGCCGATCATTCACAAAGCTTTCCCTAATTTTAATATTAATTAATCTTATGTTCTAAAACAAGCACTATTTTGTGAACTATTCCGATCCCAATACTGTTTATTAACCGTGGCATTTATCTATAATAAATTATATTCGACGTGACATTTCTTGTAAGCCACAAATAAACTAATACATTATTTATTCTGACATAATCCGATACTGAAATACAGTGAAAAAACAACGCCATTTAGATTCTATTTCGTTGAGTTTTTCCTTAAGAGTAACAAACTCTTAAGTAATACGAATGTTCCTCTTGAGTGTACTTGACTTGGGTTGCGCGTATTTTACAATTATATATATAAATACATACCAATATATATTATGTATTTGTGTAGCGGTTGTTTGATTTTAACGTTTTACAGAAAGTAAAGTAATATTTTTGATTTGCGTATATCGATCGACACATTTAAAACTTACAGCTTTTTAATTGGCTTGCTTCAGAATAACTAACCATTCAGAAGAATATATGCAAGAACTTTACCGCAAACGTAAAGAAAGTTCGCTCTTGGCTCTCTGGATCTAAGTGTAGGAGAGCCGTGCTTCGGCACTTTGAAATGGGCCTGATCTCGACCTGAGTACCCTTCTGCCAACCTTCTCGATAAAAAGTCAAAATGCAACGCACTGCTTTCAGTGCGTCCCTTAAAGAGCCATACAACAAATTTAGGCTCATATGGTCCTATGTCCAGCCAGCGCAGCAGTAGCAGCCAGGCTCGGATCAGGAGAAGAAATGGGATGGTTTTTAGTTACTGAGTCTGCGACTCTCTCTCGCCCCGTCCAGGGACGAAGACTAAATTGGATGAATTTTCTCCTCAAAAGAAAAATGTCGTAGTATTTGACAGAGAGCGGAGAACCGGGCAGCAGCACTCTTTTATAACTTGAATATTGTAAACAGCGATCTCAAATAGTTTTTAGTCTCAAATTGAAGGTTATCATTGGCAAACCCTGTAATGTAGATGAACCTTATCAGAGAGCAGCGGGCTGTCACGGGCTGTATTAATACTATATCTGTTTGGTGTTTACATACTTATTTATATATTCTCTGCACATTATTACATATCGGAGAACTAAACAGCTGCTAGCTGGAAAATGCTGTTGGCAAGCAGCTAGCTTTCTATCAGCATTTTCTACTTATCTTCTTTCTAGCGCAGAGATGTATGAGATAAGTGGTATGCACATACATATATATAACTCCGTTAGTTACAAATTATAAATTAACTTTATCAAATTTAGATCTCATATATACATTTTAATATAAAAATAAGTATCAAAAACTTAAGGGCTCAGCTCACTGTTATCTTTAATTTATTAAATACTAAAAGTATGATTAATCGATTCGTGAATCGTTTAGAGCTCGTTAGGCAAACGAAATCTCGATTATAATAATCTTTCATTCATAAATTCTAAATTTAAAATGTTTTTGCTTCGTAAAGATTATATTAAGCGAACTAATTTCCCGTTAAAAGATTTTTTGATGAAAGTAGGTTTAATTTAAAATTCTATTCTTTGCTAGAATTGGATGGGCCCAAGTTTGATTCTGAAGCTGCTATTTGAACGGGTCCCCGCTATCCAATTTAGAAAATGACTCCACAAGATATCTAGTTCAGTTCCCGTTTATAATTAGAATAAAAATATCTTTAAAGATTTTTTTTTTGACATCTTAGCGAAGACGCCATTTCTATTTTATTCAAAATCTATAATAATAGACGTTATGAAAAATATTTAAGTAGTTCTTGAATAAATATTTAACGTCATAATAGGTAATGTTCTGTAGTTCATATCAAATTTTATTACACCGGAAAAAAAAGATTGAATTTGTCCAATATAGATTTAAAACCGTTAAAAATATGATTAATTTTATTGCTTCGCATCAAGATTAAAGATAAATCAGGTTCTTGGAAAGATCAAATTTTATGTATGTAATGTGTAAGAAAAAAACAATTTTTCGTTATTATGTATTGTTACTTTTTTATGTATTTCATTGTATTTTTAAGTCAAGGATCGGCAAATGAACCAATGAATGATGATAAGGAATCGGCGTTTCTCATGCCAGGCAACGCTAAAAGAGTAGAAGGAGCAAGCACTTTGCCGGCCTTTTATGGGTTGTTAATGATTTGAGGATTGGGAATAGGGGTTTGATTGGGCCTTCGGTAACCACAATCATACGCCGAAACCAAGAAGAGCAATATTTAGCGCCGGTATTCAGTGAAGCCGTTGAATAACTACTACGGACCCTGACCATTCGTGCCGAATCATGTCTCTTCCACACTTATCTCCTCTTTGGCATTTACAATCAAAATCAGACCAGGTTAACAATATTACTTTGTAGATAAGGTTAATTTAAAAAGTAAGACTGGGTAAACTTTAAATTAAAATGATGCAACAACACCTTGACTATCAGGGTACATAGAATAATTAAGCTGCAATATCAATTAGACCAATAATTACACCGAGCATGCGACACACGCTAAGCATATGTGACACGCTTCTCAGTATTCTGTTAAACTTTGTGTACAGGTTGAAAAAAAAACATGAAAACATGTTTTCTATGTTCCCAGAAGGTGACGGCAGGGGTGTTATTAAATATGGTCACTTTTCAACACTTATTACAACTAACAGTTGTAATGTGTTTTTTTTTTGTATAAATTTTAATACATTTTGCACTCCGATATTTGATTTTAAAAATGTCTTAAGTAGACTGTATGCTGTATAGCACATTGAAATTTTTAATTCAGTAATGATGACGGCTAAAGTAAGATTATAAAACTGACGAGTCCTATTGTTTATTTGAATGCGTATAACTCAGTAATTACTGGTTCGAAATTAACAATAATTTTTATGTTTAATATCCCATCTATGAATAATGTAGCCTATAGGAATATTAAATAACACGTTACGACCAATTAGACTCGCTCAAAGGAAGCGAGTATTATATAAAATATTAAGTATACTCGAAGACTGTGTTTCATAATACCTACATATGTATACCTTCAGCAAATGGTAAATGCTAATCAATTTATGGTTAAAAGGCTAACAAAATATTTATTGTTTTTTTAAATTGTAAAAGTTAGTGCCAAACCATGGCAGTGCAAGCGTGAATACGTTGTCTCGGGCACTTGACATTCTGCCAGTTGGCGAGTGCAAACAACAAATTATGTACAACGTGCATCCACACATGCCAATAATGTGTACAACACTTTAGATGCACAAAACCAATTATTTATTTCAGACTATTAATTTTAATTCTTGCTTATATTATTTTTTTATTTTTTGTGTTAACTTTAAAGAATCAATTGTCAATTAAAATTATATTGCGCTTGTATTCTTTGAAGTGATAAAATAATATTATTATACACTTTTCATTTTTTTTTATGTGATTGGATGGAAACGAGCTTATGAATTACCTAATGGTTAGCTATCAGCGCCGCCCATGGACACGCAACTGTGGAGTTACGAGTGCATTATAGAGCTTTTGGGGATTAGGGATTTGGAGATACGGCGATGGATTGGGGAAGGAAAAGGATTGGGCTGCGGTAACTTTACTCACACTAGAATCACAACGCTGTGGTTGTTTCACGCCGGTTTTCTGTGAGATTACACATTATTCGTACTACAAATATTTTGATGACTTAAAATGTTGTATGGTTAATTTTTCCTTTAGACTTTAACCGTACTAGGGAAGAATCGTGTCAGATGTTAACAGCGAAACCTGTCGTTGTGTTAAAGTCAGTTTCGAGACAAAACCGTAAGAAAACTATAAAGGTACAAAATTTTTAGTCTCACACTTACCTTAGAATATTTTAAAACCAATGGAAGACTCATAGCTGATGATAACATCCACACAAAGGCGATCTTCACGGTCACTCTTTTTCTAGTTTTGTTTCGTCCGAACCTCATCGGATACCGGAGGGAGAGGTACCTGAGGAGGTAATAACGCTGTTTTAAGTTTTTTATGTTTTTAACAATTATTTTTGTCAGTATTATCCATTAGCCGGTTGTTGCGTAATTTAAAGACAATTAAATATCTTTCGAATACTTTTCTCTTTAGTAATCGTTAATCATAAAACAGGTTCTGTTTAAATGAAATAGGAAAATAATTGAGCAATGATTATTCAAAGTATTATGTCACAGCCAACAAACACGACTAGCCATTAGGATGTTCTCCTGTGCCGTGGGTGCGTTTAGAAACATACAATTTCACATACGCAAGCCACCCAGACCCGAAAAACGATTTGTGAATCACACAAAGTGTTGTTTCGTACGGGAATCGAACCCGCGATTCGTTGCCCAACAGCCAATTGCCCAGCCATTGCGCCAACCGTGCAATCTAGACAACCAACTGCCTGAATTATCACCAGTCGAGGTTGCGTATTCGAAACCTTAAACAATTTTAATCTTCAGATAACATTTATCTGACTACTGAAAAATCAGCCCTTAATCCATTAATAATATCATTTTGTAGAAAGCTTACGTGTTCATCATCATCAGCCTATAAGTGCCCACTGCTGAGCAAAGGCCTCTTCTCACACGGAGAAGGTTTGAGCATTAATCACCACGCTTGCTCAATGCGGGTTGGCGATTTCAAACTTACAATTAGAAATTATAAGTCCAGGTTTCCTCACGATGTTTACCTTCACCGTATGTCAGTGGTGTCTAAATAATCATAGAAAGTACATATAACTCGGAAAAAGTCACATTGGTACTTGCCAGGTTTCGAACCCACACCCTCATGCATGAGAAGCGGGCTCCTTAACCTCCAGGCCACCACGACTACAGCTTACGTGTTAATAAAACTAATTATAAAACCAATTATTTTTATATTAATTTACAAACCTGTCGACACTAATGGTGCATAGATGCATGATCGACGCCGTACAGAGTAGCACGTCGAGACAGAGCCAACACAAGCAGTAAATAGCGGGCAGCGGGAAGTAACCTGTTAAAGAAAAAGAAAGTCTATTAGTATGGTTTTGCAGTTCAAATTTGGCTGGCATTGTCTGTCATAGTCATAAGCGTTTGTAAATAAAAAGGGAAATTCTGGCATTGGCATTTTTTGACTTAGCAAACATTGTATATGTATAATTAAGAACTAGTTTTTAAGCTCGCCAATATCTATTTATAAGAACAATGCTCATTGTATTAATTTGAAAAAACGCAAAATTATTAAATATCGTCACAGTATGTCTGTTTAATAGGTATTATTGGCTTTTTAGTTCATTTTTATAATTGGAATACGCCTAATACCGGCGGAGAGAGCTTCGAATTTTGAATTTATTTTATTAAAAGTTATCATTATAAAAAAGAACAAATAAGTATAAAACCTTATTTTAAAACTTACTAATAAATACTTATTTTTATTTAATATGATCGCAATAAAAAAAGCTTATTTTTGAAGGTAATATAAATTTATGTAATACATTTTCTAACTTAATCTACTGTGAGCCCATTAATCCTATTTATTACGACGAGCTTAAATAAATAACTATTTTTACGCGAAACTGGTTAACGTGTGGCCTCCGAGCTATTTCAGCGAACGTTGAGGTTATCGCAAGCTGAAAATCTTTTGGAATAAATTTAAAACGTGTAAATTTATGTGTGTGTGTTTGTGTGTTTATTTTTCATAATGTAGGGTGAAAGTGTACACTATAATACATTGACATTCATAATTTACACTGCATTTACATTCCAGTGTCTATTTAGAATTATAATCTTTCACAACCAAAAATCTCAACTAATATGTTCATTTCTAGGTTCTCTTTATGTAAGCAAACCCTTTACTTAAACACTAAGCTTAGTTCTAGACTTTACGTTAGCCCTACATACTACCTTGCGCAAACTGTTTCACCTAGGTAACTGAGATCTACTAGGTGTATCCACAGCCCATTAGAGTCGGTATATTATGTAAAACCAGGCCTTTTTGGTCGAGAACTGGCAAGAGCTACTGTAGTTGTTAATCAGACTACTAGGTTTGGGTGGATGAAATAAAAGCAATTTTATTTATCAAATAGCAGAGGTGGAATTTATTGATGTACTTTAGGTTTGTGTTACCTGAAGGCGTAAGTGGAAAAGAATTAAAGTCAGATGCAAACATCTCAGTGAGGGTTGACTAGCTACATCATCATCATCATCATCAGCCTATAAGTGCCCACTGCTGAGAAAAGGCCTCTTCTCATACGGAGAAGGTTTGAGCATTAATCACCACGCTTGCTCAATGCGGGTTGGCGATTTCAAACTTATAATTAGAAATTATAAGTCCAGGTTTCCTCACGATGTTTACCTTCTAAATAATCATAGAAAGTACATATAACTCGGAAAAAGTCACAGTGGTACTTGCCAGGTTTCGAACCCCCACCCTCATGCATGAGAAGCGGGCTGCTTAACCTCCGGGCCACCACGACAATCAACTACATAAAGCAGTAATAATAGTGGCGTGAGAAATAAGCAGATTAATTTTTGTTATTCCAAGACGAATTTCTTGTAGAAAATTATCTTGACCTCCACCCTAACTTCGCATTATTATAATATTATTATTATCTGTGTACAAATCACACATGCAAATGTTTTTTTTTGGGTCTGGGAAAACAATAAGTGGCTTCACCACTTGACAAACAGTTTTTCGAGTTTTAGTTGAACAAGCAGAAGCTGGTTTCTAAACTGCTGCGTCCGCACGTACATACATACATCCTTACATACATATTTACATGTAAACTGACACTATAAGCAAACTTTCTCACCTTGCTTCCTTTATATTGTTCGAGCACGTACTTATAAACCAAGAGCTTTGTATCGACAACGTGGTTTTGTGTGACAAAGCTGGATTTTTCTAAGACAAACAGTGATTCTTGGAGTTTGTTTAGATACGTGATTATATTTAGAAGGGTTATTTATTCTGAATTTATAAGTGTATGTAGGACGCTGGTATTATATCGTTGTAAGCAAAAGGTATATTTATTTTATTACTTACCCACTTTTTTGCAATTTATCTACTATCCAATCATTCGAACATCATGATCAAGTCATTTTATATTCAATAATAGTACCTACTCATAAAGTCATATAAACAAAATATTATGAACGGAAATTTCTTATTTGACTTCAATAAAACATTTATGGGAGAAATACTTTATAAAGAATTCTAATATCTTCCAAAACAAGCTTCAGGTATGAAACTAGACAAAAATAATATAACAACAGGTTATTAACGACTATACTATTCAAACGACTAAATAATTTGTCAAAGAACTTTCAACCTTATTTTAAATAACAAAAAGAATTATCAGTATACCCAAATCTGTGGGACCATTACTCTCTTCCCATTGACAAGTGGGTCTAAAACTAGACCCATAAACATGCCAGATCTCATTGGGACCTCTTGAGATATATGGGCTGGTAAGAGTTCAAGGTTTTTCAAACTAAAGAGCTGATTAACAAAGATATATTGAATTCTCGCTAGTTTTGTTTAGTGAGTACTTTTTCTATTTATTTTTTTATGGAATAGGAGGCAAACGAGTAGAGGTATAACTTGATGGCAAGTAAACAGTGTCTCCCATGGACACCTGCAACACCAGAGAAAGTACACGTGCGTTTCCAGCTTTTTAAAAATGAGTATGTATAGTAAACTTTAAGAAACATAATTCTTAAAGTTTTGAAAATGATTTCAAAGTGCGAGGCAGAAAGTTTCGCGCCAAAATCGCGGTTTTTGACTGCCAACCATATATTGTATGGGGAGAGTTTTCGTGTGATTCGATGGCGAAAACACTCCCGATGGTATATACGACATAGGACTCGAAGCGAAGCTACATCCCTATGCAGTAGCAAATTCAAGATTTATTTAGGAAAAATATATTACTTAGACTGCTCGGTTGACGCGGTGGCTGGACAATCGGCTACAATGCAAAGCATACAATCTCAATATGCGTGGTTGTGAACCGTACTTTGTGAAATCCACAAATCGTTGGCCTGAGTCTGGGGAGGTGTATCTGACATTAAGTTTGCTTTGCAACCCTGGATACAGGCGTTAAATCCTAGTGTAGGGCGATGATATAAAATATATATATTAAAGATATCTTGTATTAGTGGAGTCATGGGGAGCCAGTCAATGGATGTAAGTGCTGAGTTATTGATTGTTCAACAGTGTTTTTGGCTGATGATGTTGATGCTGATGGTTTTCACAGTAGTACTGCTAGATTTTGATGCTAAATTATAATAAAAAAGACATTAATTCTTGGTTGTAATTAAACGTCCTCAATAAAGACTAAAAACATTGTTTATTTACATCTTTGCATGTAACTCTTTGTGGATAAAAAACAAAATTGTTCTGTCCGTGTATTTATAACTCCTATATACTTTCTTCAATGAATAACAGCCGTGTTGGTATGTTATGTACGTTTTATATTGGATCTCTTATGAACTCGAGAAGCCATTCTATTCAGATTAGGTATTCCTATTACGCGTAATATACGCAAATAATGTGCTTCGGAATTAAAGTCGGCTGATCAGTTCGTGTAGTATTGAATTTTCTTTCATTTTCCAATATTTTACTACATGTGAAGCTTCAAATTGGAAAGTCATTCGATTACTTTTCGTCCTTACAATCTATTTTTGTCGTGTTTTTCGATCTGTTAAGCTTAAGTTTCCTTTAAATGATATGTTGGCGTCGTTGATCAAACGCATCGCCTAACGTTGATCGTAATCGCTGCAGCCCAATCGATGCCTCTCATGGCTATCTGCAACACCAGAGAAGTAACAAGTGCCTCACCCGATAAGGGATTGAAGGATTTATCACATGGCAGATACAACGAAACCATCGTTTCATGCCTTTTTTTATTCAGGAAAGCCTTGATATCGCCCTAATTGAGAAGACCCATTCATAACGAAGCATGGTTCCCAGATATTAAGAAATATTTAAAATACGAAATTAATTTGTGAGTAATGAAAATATTACAAACTTAAGTCTTATGTAAGATAGTAAGCAAATTTTAATAACTCCTACATAGCAGGTTGTATAATTTCGAGGTCGCGCTACACGGTTGCTACGCCGTAGCGACTGCTATTACAGCTACGCTGCTTTCGTAGTAAGTAAACACTATCTCACGTCATCTTAGCCGCTACGGATTTACTACTTTCGCATAGAGTGTTTATGTTGTGTACTGATTTTTGCGAATAGTTACCAACTGACGCACTCACTCAAAAAGTCTCTATTTTGCAATGGGTCTGTCTTACAAAGTCTCGATAGCCATAATGTATACGATACGATGAAGGCGATTAAAACAAGCCATATTTTTTGTAATTGAAGAGTTCTATTGTATGTGAACTTATAATGCAGTTGATAGGGATTGCATTCATATACAGAATACACTTATTAAGCAAAATAACAAAATAAAAAATCATCACGCCTCATGTATTTTAACGGCATATCACTTTCGTGTGGCTTTTAACAAATTTGTCAATAAGCCACAGGGCGCACCCCTAACCAAACACGCGGTTAGTTAGTGGCAACCCTAACCGCTACTCATTAGCCTACAATCGATGTTTGCTGAGTCCAAATTACTGGGAAAATGGTACTGAGTGAAATTAGGACACCTGCTAAATCGGGTTCAATCGCTGTGACAGACTGATGGTTAATACATACTTAACTTCATATAAATACAAATGAAAACACCAACTAAGTGGACTAATGATATCTGCAGGCTAGGAGAAATTAGATGAAAAGAGCTGAATGATGATGAAATACAAATGTAAAGTGTGAGTGCAACTGTCAGAGTAGAGATCCATTACAATGTCCGGGGCAACTATTTTCTGACAACTTTCGATTTTACGAAAATTAAAAAAAAAATATTTGTTGATTAATATTTTATGTTGATTTATATTCATTATTAGCATCCTCATCACCAATAACAGCCCACTGCTGAGCAAAAGCATCTTCTGAGGTTTGAG